AATTGAAATAATTGAAATCACGGGAAGTATTTCCATTATTTCAATTGTTTGGGAAGGCCAAATAATTGAAATAACAGAAATCACCCCCATCTCAATTCCTGCGGTTCATTGGCTCGGGCCCACGGATCCCTACGCTTTCTCTTATTTCAATTAATTCAAATGGGGGAGTTATGCCCTGGTGGGCTGTGGCCGGGAGGATAGGGGTTGGTGGGCTAGGGAGGTGGCTTGGGAGATGGGGGGGCGGGGTGCTGGCGGGGGCGTGGGGACGGGGTGGGGGCTGGCGGGCGGGTGGGTCAGGAGTGGGGGTTGGCGGGCTAGGGGCCAAGGGGGGGTCGGGTGGGGGCTGATCAATGGTGTTGGTGAGGGGGGCAGCCTTTCCATCATCTTGTTCATACCTACCTGTTATTGCAGACTTTGCAGTGCATGGGTTTCTATGCATCCTTGCCAGTCCATTATGGCAACAAGCTTCATGTTTCCAAAGCCGGGGTCTGCTGACGTTTTGTGTTGAAGGAGAGTCATAGCGTTTTGATCACCTGATCCTGCGCAGCGCGTGCATGTTGCCCCTGGTAATCTTGTTGGTTGCGTATGGCTCGTATCAGTGTTGGATGCACGCTTTTGCGGGCTTCTTCTTGGGCTAATAGAGCTTGACCTCAGTAGAGATCCATTGCTACAGCACCCACTGCGATGCAGACATAGCATTGCAGTCCAGTTCAGAAACGATCGCTTCTGTCAAACTGGGCCTTTTCTAAAGCCTCCAACTGCAATTGCCTTCAAACCGTAGACTATGAGCTCGGTTGTAACGGTTCTGACAGGTATTATCACTGCAAATTGGAACGGTTCTGATAAATCGTATTAATGCTACCACTATGAAAGTAATACTGGTCTTCTTATTCCTAATCTTATTCAGCAACATGGCACCAATGTGATGCAGATCAGGCTGAGGTTTCGAGTTTCACGGTCGGAGGCTTGTGGCCACAGTACCTGAGACATGTGATGCAAAAGAGTAAAGAGTCGCTGTAGAGAAAATGTTGCGCGGCTGTCGTCGAGAGGTTTGCAATTATCACTAGTATCATGAGCATGGCCCGGGGCCCGCACCGCCCTCGCGCCAAACTTGACTCACACAGCAAGTTGCCCTCAGTTCTTGAGCTTGCCCGCCCGGGCATCAGACAAACCCGCACGGCTGTGTGGCTTGCACTCCTTTGGTGGGCTCGCCGCTTCCTGACCCGCCTGCCAAGAAATCGTTTGACAGCACCGTCCCCGCCCAGCTTTGGCAGCAACTGGCGGAACCCAACCCGCCGAAGCCTTCACATGCACCCGCGGGCCGTGAGCCTCGCATACTTAAGCCCTCGCCTTTGCGGCTGAACGTGCACTCGACAACTGAAATCACAGCACTCGGATGCAGGCATGCAGTACATTTGTTTTGGTGCCAGATCATAGCATCCTTGCTCTTCTCTCTCTGCCTGCAAAGAGAGCCCTTACCCAAGGCCAAGAAACACCCTACAAAGCCCAACAAAATAGAGGCCTTAATAATTACCAATGCTATTTTGGGGGCTCCTTATTATAGATACAGTATAATATACCCCAAAGCCCTATTCTAATTAGTAAAGCCCCTACAAAGCACTACATGCTTGACTTCCGGGGTAAGTTTAGCACGAGAGACTCATCAGCTCTGAGGCCTGGCCCCCAGATCCCCTCACACTTATGGCGATGTCGCAGCGTCTTGTGATAGGGTGCTGTAGGTTTTCGTAAACGGTTTTTGGAACATAAACTGTACCAAACCGTCTAGACCTCATAATCAATGCTCGCAGCCGTGCAAATTAAACCCACTATACGAGCCCCGAGATCTCGATCCTCCAGGGGCCCAAAACCGGCTAAATCCTAAACCCCAAAACCCATAAGCCCTAAACCTCTGAACCTCATAAGCCCCAAAGCCCCAAAGCCCTCTAAACCCTCAACGCCAAAACCGGCCTGCAACCGCAGCGTTAGCTTCGAGAACGGGTACCCGCTGGTCGGACCCAACGGGGTCTGAGGCGCACTGTCGAGCCCCTTGTTCAGGGCTTTTCGGGTGTTAGATTCCGGGTTTGCAAGGGGCCCTTCAGGGTTCTAGGAGCCAGGGTTTTTGAACTTCTGAACAGGGTTTTTTTTTGCGTTTCTTTGTTGATTGTCTTGTGGGATGTAGGCTTACCTACATTCAGCCGGAGCTGGAGTGGAGGTCCCTGCGGCCCGAGATAGGTTTGTTGCAAAGCACAGAAACAGAAGGATCCTGCGTTTGGAGTCAAAGGGCACTTACCCCATGGGTTCCAGTATGCCTTCACGGTTGTGCCCCAAACTCTGACCCCTCAACCTGTGGACTCTAAAGCTCTGTAGTTCTTCCTGCACCTGTGAGAACTCTGAACGGAGCCCTGATAAGAACCCTCACAGAACGGGTTTAGGGTTTCGGGTAAATCCTCAAAGAGCCCAGGAAGGGCCTACCTCAATCACTCTAGACCCCAAGCCCTTGTCAAATCCCAGACAGAGCACCTACCTTAGACAATCCCAAACCCTAAATATCCCTAAATCCTGAGCCCTAAACCCTAGACCCCAAAACCCTAAACCCCAAACCCCTCAACCTGAACCCTAAACCCTAATCAGGCACCCCGATGGCGAAGAAAAGCCAGGCGCAGGCATTGTCTGACGAGCTCGGGAGCCTGGGTTGCTTGGGGCGGTTAGGGATTTAGGAAGACCTGGGGCTCCGATTAGATTTCCGGGGTTTAGGGTTGAGGGGTTTTTGCGGTTAGCGATTTTAGGAATCACCTACCTTTACGGGGCTTACTGTTATGATGTCCTTATAGGTAGGTGCGTTTAGGGGGTCCTGGGGCTCCTTATTTAGGATTTCCTTATAGTTAGGTTTTCTTCGGGTCCGGGTCGGGTTTAAGGTGAGGGGTTCGCGGTTCGGGGGCTTAGGGTTAAGGGATTCAGGGCGAATGCAGACGCCTGAATAGTACGGTCCTCAGTATCAATAGAAGTATATTCTGTATGTAGAGAGAGAGAGAGAACATATAGATATCCCCCAAGGCCCGATTCAAATTAGTGAGGCTCCTGTGGTTTAGTCATGGGGGTTTAGGGTTGAGGGGTTTTAGGGTAAGGTGGTTCAGGGGTGTCGGGCTTTTCGGTGCCTCCAAAGAAGGGAGGGGTCCTCGCCAGGACCTCCAAGGCACCCGCAATAGAGACCTTATGACTGTGATCTTTAATAGTTGATATTTCGCGTTTTGTACCTCGAGCCTCCATCTACCCTCTATTGCACCCTAAATACCCATAATTTAGGACCATATACCCCTATTGGACTTTGGCACGTCTAGGTGGCCGGTTAGGGTTCGGGGAAATTAGTCACGTTCCGAAAAAGGTAATCAGGTGTTTGGGGCTTGGGGTAGACTTTGATGGTTCGGGTTTGCTGTTGAGGGCAGTGCCTTGTCTTCCATGTCTGTAGTGGGCAGCGCTTTGTCTTCCATGTTTGCATGGTGGCTGTTGTGCACCCGTTCCCCTGTGTGTTGTTTATATCCAACACGTTCGCCCACTCAGAATCAGTTTGGCTCAGCACGTTTGCTCTTCATTAACCGTGTCCTTGTTCCGACACCCAATCCCGAGAACCAGCACCGAGGCACCGAAACCTCGCAATTAACATCAAGACCTATAGACCCTAAGCCCTATCTCCCATCGACCCCTTAATCCCAGTCCCTGAAGCCCTGAGCCCCCTAAGCCCCGTTAAAACCTATCTGCCTCTTCCGACGGTCCGAGGTCCACAGGCGTGCCCTATGGGGAGCTGATCCGTGCCTGGCCCCACTTTGTCAGGGCTTGAGGTAAAAGGGCTTATGATTTTAGGGTTTGGTAGACTCAAGGGTTTAGGGTTGCTTTAGGGTTTGGGGTTTGGTAGATTCTGAATCAGGCCGGAGTTGGGGCTTAGGGCTTGGGGTTCACAGTTTCCTGTATCGATAATTCCATGACAACGGCCCTGGCGTTTTGGTGTCAACTTTTTGATTTCAACGATGGAGAAACCTTCTTCTTACGCTGTAGCTGTGTGGGGAACCCGCTTCCTGCTCCGAAAGATATCCCAGCAACTGGACCTGTTTTCTCGGGCCACCAGTGCACGTTCCTACATGCAGCCTCGCCTGGCTATGACCGTCATGACCTCAATGATTACCCTAATCTCCTACCTTACCCTAGGTAACCTACCGACTTTAGGATTGGTGTAACGAAGCCAGAATAAGGAACGCGAAACATTGCAGGGTTTCTGCGCTCCGGGTGAAACGGTCCAACCCCTCTGAAGCCTACTTGTTCATCCTCACAGGTTAAAACCAAAGTAGTGTCCGTAGTAGTCCATGTGACCTCACCCCGAATACATGTCAATGTAGAACCCACAACCCGAAAACTCTTCAGCAAACCAGCCCTTAAAAAGGCCTGAAAATCCCAAAACCCTTCAACGAAGGAAAACAACAAACATGAAGCCTGAAGCAAGCTTTTGATTTGTAAGCTCATAGACCCTCAAAACCAAGGGCAACCCCTAAATCCGGAACCCCTAAACAGCTAAACCCCTAAACCCGAAGCCCCCCAACTCCCAAAACCCTAAACCCAAAATTCCAAGAACCACCCAAAACCCCCAAAAAGGTTTCCAAAAAGTGGTGCTTCCTAGAACAGGGGTAAAAAAACTCTACAACACCCCCCAAAACCCGAAACCCCTAAGCCCCGAAACCCCAACCCCAAACCTCCTAAACCCCGAAGCCCTAAATTCCCAAAGCCACCCAACCCACCCCCCTCAAAAAAACAACAAAGGGTTAAAAAGTCCTCAACCCTAAACAAGGGACTCTTACACCCTAAACCCGTAAACCCCAAAAAAGGGTTCCGAAGAAGGAAACCCTAGAACCCCGAAGCCCTAAAACCCCAAAACCCTAAAACCCTATCCCTAAATCCCTAAATCCCTTTAAACCCTAAACCCAAGGAGACTATGAGCCGCCGGAAGGATCGTCGTGGAGGTATGGCCGACCGGACTATGCCGGGAGCCCCACAAAGCAGTGGCTGGGTTTAGGGTTTGGGGTTCTTTAGGGGCTTAGGGTTTAGGCTTCTAGGGTAAGGGGTTCAGGGTTTAGGGTTCTAGGAATTAGGGTTTTGGGATGTTGGGGTTTGGAGTTTCGGTTTTTTGGCCCGAAAAAGACAATGGGTAGGTTTAGGGTTTCGGTTGAGGGTTTGGTGTTCAGGCTTTCTCAGGCTTCCTTGTTAAGGGGTTCGGCTGAGGGTTTGATGGGTTTGGGGTTTAGGTTCCTAGGATTTTTAAGTTTTCCTTTTAAGGGTTGAGGGTTTACTAGTAAGCTGTTCTGAAGCTTTGCAAGGTCTAGGATCAAGCGGGGGAGGAGTGGGGTTTCCTTCTAAGGGTTTCTTCATCGGTCCCGCGTTTAAGGTTTGGGTTTTTCAGAGTCTAGGTTCGTTTACACGGCTTAGCTTTGAGGGCTTCTAAGTTCTTCGCAAAGGGTTAAAGGTTTGGGAAGAGTTTGAAAGGCTTGCAGGGCTTAGGGTTCACTAGCGTGTTTAGGCTTTCTTTTGGGCGGGTGCGCTCGGGTTTGTCGAAACGTTAAGCCTCGATGAAGCTCGAAATAGGATACTGCAAGGGCCTAAATAATTGCCTATATTATTTTGGGGGTTCCTTACTATAATTGCTCTATAAAGGACCCCAAAATCCTGTTCCAGTTATTAAGGCCCCTATGTTACACAAGGAGTTGAATGCCTTCAGGGGCATCCATTCCAAGGGCTCCATGAAGAAGCCGCAACCTGAGCTGTACGTCCCACACGTGGACCCCTACCTGGACCCTACCCTTTTTATAGGGTTCCTTGCTATGATGTCTGCATATTACAAGTCCCTAAACAAGTTGGTTATTTGGGGGTTGGGTAAACCTTCCTAGCAGCCCTGCACCCCTCATCCCCTCTGAGCTTCAAGTAGACGAAGCGTGAGTCCCGTCTGCTTCACAATCACGCACCTTGAACAGAAATCCTCTAGCCGTTGGCTCTAACCTTGCCCGGGGGGTATTTGGTTCCCTACCTTTTTTCAGGACTTATGTAAGGAAAGCAGATGAGGAACCCTAAACATGTCGGCTGCTTAGGGCCCAGGTAACCTGAACCCTAAACCCCTATATCGAGAGAACCTGGCTTCCGGGTAATGCCAAACCCTCAACCCTAAACTCCTCTGACTACAGCGAGAGATCCTAGTCTACACCACAAACCCCAAACCCTAAAGCCAACGCCTGAAACCCTAACGCCCTAACCCCCAAACCCTAGAACCCCCAAGCCTTAGCCTCTAAAGCCCAAACACCCTAGATACCCTAAACCACAAATCCTAAACCCTAAACCCTAAAGGCCGGCCTTCCAACTGTAGACCGGTATTGCGGTTGGAGACAGGGGCTCAAAAAAAACAACAAAGCAAACACCCTGAACCCCAAATCCTAAACCCTAACCCCATAACCCTAAACCCAAAGCCCTAAACCCTAAACTAGAAGACGAGTGGCCCGAAAGCATCATTAGCCATGAGTTTTGGAGCTATGTAATTGGAGCTATGTAACGTCACGGGGTCGAGTGTATAAAGTCTTAGATGGCAGTGCGTGGAGTCAAGTACATAGAGT